CACGATACATTCACAAGTGTTGGAAACATGCATATAACATCGTCATTCAACTTGACTTTCAGGTTTAACTCCCCATCAGACTCAAATTTCCTTTTGACATATGAGTCAAGTCAGGTCAGCTAAAGTTCAAGCTCAAGAGACAACTTATCAACTCGAACTCGAGGTGAGTATAAGCGTCATTGGCTTTGAGTTGTAAATTATATTGACTCATCTCATATCGATGCTTTCCCTAGTTAGATATCAACAACAACTAGAGGCCTTGAGAGGTTCAACCTTTGCAGAATTCAGAGTGCAATCTTTGAGAGAACATAAATTAGCTTCACGCTCTAGGCCATCAATGACATTATTGGAAGAGCAAAACCAAACAGCTCGCATTACAGAGTCACAAACGCAATCAATAGCTCAATGCCAGCAAGCATTTGGTCTGCTCCCGACCCCCCGTTTTTCCTCCCAGATGAAAAACCACAGCGTAAGAAAAAAGAAGAAAAAGAATTAACACAAATCGGCATTCGACATATCTTGTAAATGAAAAAGGGACTCAAAAACTTAGGCAGATGCCGGTGTTGGTCTTCTGTCACCCTCTTCCTTCGTAACCGAGTCATCTAAGTTCTCGATGACTCTGTCCTCCCAGCCATTGCCGTCCTCTTCTTCCACAGGCAGGACATTCAAAATCTTGCCTTTCGTGGGCGCGGGTGTCTCGGTTGCTGAGGGTGGTGATACTGATGAAGTCAGGGAAAATGAGACCATGCTAGTGACAGAGGGGGTAACCAACAATATAAACTTCTGCAACCTCTTCAATCCCCTCATCTATACAAGCCACATCCTGCATGATGAGTTGGTGATACTCGACAATTTCCCTTAGCAAGCGGTTCGCGCGTGCAAATGTTTCATTCTCGTTTGCCAAACGAGCTAGCTTTCTTCGCAAGAAGCTTCTCGAGTTGAAGGCGTATCTGAGAAATATACTTGTGAGGAGCTTAACCAATGTGGTTCATGGGTTGGATACTAACTCGGACCTAATAGCAAATTGGGAAATAGTGACATGTAGATAATGATGCATTTGAAACGAAGCTGAGTAGGAGGTGGGCATAAATTGCTTTACAATGCCTGAGAGTCCCATACTTGCGCACGGTGAATATTGGTGTCCTCTCGTGTATGCATGCGGCGAGCGTGTGCACAGAAAGGGATCTGTCTAAAAGTAATCACTTGCGTATCTTAAAATAATGAACAAACGAGAGATATTTCATCATCCATAAAATTGTTTAAATATAAATGGTTATCGACAATGAAATCATTTTTCATTGACTAATTATTTTAAGCGATATAAGCGATTATATTTAGGAGAATATTTTACAAATCTTTCAGTTTCCTCTCGACAAACGGATCACTAATGATGCCATCCCTCTAAGTTATGCAATGGGTACCAAGCCAAGTAAACTGTCCATAAACAATGAAAGCTGAAAAGAACTTATTGTTAGGGTTGGTAATTCTTGTTGGGTCATACTCTGCTAGTTCTGAAATTTCTGAAAAGCTCGTCACTTTGGTTGACCTGTTTGTGGGAGATTAGTGGCCATCAAGGAATGTGTGAGACAAGGATCCATCTTATTCTTATGCAATCCTAGAAGAAAACCTTAGAAGTGGATTTCTAAACAGCATCTTGTTTTCTTGCTTCTTGTTAATTGGTGGTAATTTGCATCTTAATTGCCGTTACCACTTTTTGCAAGATTCACTGTTACTACACTCGTGTCACATTTACCTCAAATTAATTTTTGTGTCACAAAAAAAATCCAGAACCGATACACCCGTGCTACAATCATCTCAAATTATTTTTCGTGTCACAAAAAATCTTTAAAATTGGGTTAAATGTGACACTAATTTACCATATTGGGATTTTGGGTTAGATGTGGCACGGATGTAGCAATTTGACAATTATTTGAATGGTATAAGCTAATTTTTAAAAGTCAGGGTTTATTTTTTTTTTATAAAAAAAGGGGATATGTTTACTAGAAGTACTAAAACTTGTCACGAAAGTACAATTAAGTCCTAAAACTTGCAAAAACTGCAATCAAGTCCTAAAACTTGTTAAATTGATTCAATCGAGTCTTAAAGTTAACACCGTCTAATTTACTAATGAAAAATGCTAACGTGGCATTTTTTTTTCCTATCTTACGGGGCAATGACATGACTAAATTATTATACATAAGACCAAAACGATGTCGTTTTGACCTAATTTTAATTTTTAATACTAATTTCATTTAAATTTAAAATACGCTAAAAAATTATTAAAAAAAAGGGGAAGAAGGAAGTCAGGCAGGGAAGGTTGCAGCTCTCCCCACCGCTACCACCGTCCCCGCCCCACCATCGCCGGGAGGGGCCGATGACCCTCGTTGATGGCAAGCGAGGGCGTGCAAGCCCTCGCCCGGTCTGGGGGAGGGGCGCAACCCGTCACCTACCGTTGGCGAGGGTCGCCACTAGATTGGCTGCAAATGGCGGCCCTCGGTCAGGTTTGGGTGAGTCTAGGGGAGGGCCGCAACCCCTCGCTGGTCATTCCTCACCCTCGTTGGCCCCTCTCGGCGTTGGTGGGCGGTAGCGGCGACGAGGGCTTCTAGCCCTCCCTGCATGAGTTTAGCTCCTCCTCTTTTTTATGTTTTTTTTATTTAACTTTTTTTTTAAAATTTAAATTTAAATAAAATTTATATTATAATAAAAAAAAGTTACGTCATCGCCACGTAGGATAATTTTTTTTAAAAAAAAATTCACGTCATCATTTTTCGTTAGTAAATTAGACGATGTTAATTTTAGGACTCGATTGACTCAATTTGATAAGTTTTAAGACTTGATTGCACTTTTTGCAAGTTTTAGGACTCAATTATACTTTCGTGACAAGTTTTGGGACTTCTAGTGAATATATCCCTAAAAAAATTATATGACTTCAAAGTGTTTTTTTGGTCAAAGACTTCCGAGTTTGACTCGATTAAAACTTTATACTTTTCAAAATTAAATCAGTGAAGGAAGTATTTTGAGCTCATGGGACCATAAAATGAGTATAAGGCCTTGGTAGAGAGAAACTCGTATCACAAAAAACTTCAAACTAATACACTTGTGATAAATTTATCCCAAACAAATTTTTTGACAACCAAAAACTCCAAAATAGTACACTTGTGACCAATTTACCCTCCGTTAGTTTTCGTTAACTTTTACCATCAAATTGCTGAGTTATATGACACGTGACAGTTGACGAGTATACAAATTTAGAATTTTACCCCTCAGTTTGTCACATATTTATTAGTTTGTAATTTTTCATGGTATTAATCCAATTTAACATAAGATAAATTTGTCATAAGTGTACCGGTTTGGAGTTTTTAGTGATAAAAAAATTAGTTTGGGTAAAATAGTCACATGTATATCAATTTGGGGTTTTTTGGGGCTAATTTTAAAAAAAAAAACACAAACTTTAGGTCGATTGATAATTCTGGCTTAAACTTTTCTTTGTCTCGTAAAGAAGCATCAACTTTAGGTCGAGTGATAATTCTGGCCCTTACTTTTTTTGTCTCGTAAAAAATCACTAACTTTCGGCCTTATCTCAAATCTGGCTCTCGTTGACTCTCTGTCTAAAGTCACTCTTGTTTGAGAAAAAAAGGTTATGGTCGTGAGCTTGTCTGATCTTGTCCATGGCGTCTGTTGACGGGTGATGGTCTATAGCTTCAAAGTTCAACAAAACGGCGAAGTCTGGCCAGAGAGATTCAATCTAGAGATCTTTTTGACTTGCCGATGAAGTGAATGAGATGAACATTTTCACAGTTATTTCTCAAGTTGTGGCTCAGAGAAGAAGACAATGAATAGTGCTTTAAATTCAGTCAGCAAGTCTTGTGGATTTATTACTGAGGTGGAATAGTCAAGTTGGATAATCAATTAAGGGGTCAGATTTGGGATATAAGGCTCCGTTCGTTTCACGAAAAATAACTTCCGAGAAAACATTTTCCGGTGTTTGTTTCACAGAAAATAACTTCCTACAGAAAACATTTTCCTTCCTATGGACAAAATGCCTTCACTTTTGAGGAAATTGATTTCCTCTTTAGAGGAAATCATTTTTCTTCTTCTTCTTTCACAACTTATTTTCAATATTTTCTTTTTCTTTTCCTTCTTCTTCCTCAGCCGATCGCTGCCGATCGCCGGCCACGGCGGCGGCCGGCGACCGACCAGCTCGAGCCTCGCCACAAGCCGGCGAGGCTTGAGTCAAGCCTCGCTGGCCTGTGGCGAGGCTCCGGCTCGCCTGATTCGCCGTGAGTGAGCTCGCCCAAGGCCGGTTAGACGAGCTCGGGCCTCGCCAGATCCGGCGAGCTGGGCGAGGCTCGCCTGGCCCAAGGTTGCTAGATGTCGATGAGGCTCTGGCGAGCCTCGCCCAGCTCGCCAAATCTGGCGAGGCCCGAGCTTGCCTGACCGGCCTTGGGCGAGCTTGCCCACATCGGATCAGGCAAGCCGGAAACTTGCCACAAGCCGGCGAGGCTTGACCTCGCCGGAATCTGGCAAGAGCTCGAGCCTCGCTAGCCTGTGGTGAGGCTCGAGCCTCGCTAGCCTGTGGTGAGGCTCGAGCTGGCCAGTCGTCGACCGCTGCAGTGGCCCGCTACCGGCTAAGGAAGAAGAAGGAAAAAAAAAAGAAAAGAAAAAGAAAATAAAAAAGAAAAATATTTTTAATGACTTCCGAGAAAATTAAAAAATATTTTCCGAAACTTTTTCAGATTTCAGCCGAACACCAGAAAATTATGTCATTTTCGAGGAAAATGACTTTCGGAAAAACATTTTTCACAAACGTAACATTTTCCGTGAAACGAACGGAGCCTAAGTGAAAATTGGTAATTTTTTATGAGATAAAAAAAAAATTAGGATCAGAATTGTCACTCAATCGAAAATTTATTCTTCTTTTTGGAATTAAGTCATATTTTTATGATAAAAAAATTAATTTACGATAAATTTGTTCAAGTTGTATCGATTTGGATTTTTCGTTGTATGCATCCTAAGGCAAAAGCTATTCAGTTTTCGGATTCGTCATCATCAGCTGAGATGAAGCGAACGGGTCACTGCCCTGCGTCTTCCATCTTCCTTCTTCTTCTTCGTCCTTCTCCGACTGCTATGTCCAGCCAGTCGTCATCCCATTCCCTTCTCCATCTCCCTTTCTCGTCTCGCCCTCGTCGGAGGTTTTCTTCGATCCCTAACCCTAAGCCGAACCAGGTCTTGAGTTACGGGAGGACAAATTGCAGAGCTAAAGGTGGTGGTGGTGGTGGTGGTGGGTTCACGAGTGTGGGCGATGCCCTCCGTTGCTTCGATAAAATGATCAACACCGACCCTTTGCCTTCCGCCAGGGATTTCAGTCTTCTGTTGGGTGCTGTAGTGAGGATGAAGCACTACTCCACTGCCATCCGGTTGATTGAGCAGCTGCATTCGTTTGGGATTGAAGATAATCATTTTTGGCTGACGATTTCGTTGAATTGCTTTTGTCGGTTACATCGGGTTGATTTGGGCTTGTCTATCCTGGGTAGGATCTTGAAGCTTGGGTTTCGCGTCGATGTGGTGGCGTCGAGCACCCTAATTGATGGTCTCCTTATTCAGGGCAAAACTGATCAAGCGTTGAGGTTCCTCCATTATATGCAGCGAAAAGGCCCCGCACCCAATGAGATCACGTATGCGATAATCGCGAAGGGGTTATGCAGGGCGGGTAACGCCAGATTGGCGATTGAATTGCTAAGGGACTGGGAAGAGAGAAGCTGCAGGCTTAATTCCTTCACATACAACATAGTAATAGATGGTCTTTGCAAGGAGGGATTGATCACAGAGGCCTTGAGACTCCACGAAAGTTTGAGTATGAAGGGCGTCCGACCAGATGTTGTTACTTATACCTCCTTGATCCATGGCCTGTGCAATGTAGGCCAGATGGAAGATGCCCTGGTATTGTTGAAAGAGATGACGAGCGGAGGCATCCAACCCAACTTACTCACTTATAGCTCGTTGATTCATTGCTTATGCAACCTAGGCCAATGGAAAGATGCTACAGTCTTGTTGGAGAAGATGATGAAGGCAGGAATTGAACCGGACGTCGTTACTTATACCTCCGTCATTCAAGGAGTGTGCAATTCCGGCCAATTGGAAGAGGCTCGAAGACTGCTGAGTCATATGATGCGAAGCAGAGTAATGCCGAATGTTCTAACCTTCACTGTTCTGGTGGATGCACATTGTAAAGAGGGAATGCTTGAAGAGGCAGAGGCCATAGTGGACCAGATGATTCAATTAGGTATAGTGCCTTCTAATTTCACTTATAATACATTGATGAATGGTTATTGTCTGCAAAATCGAATGGATGATGCAATGGAAGTGTTTAATTTGATGGTCGAAAGAGGCTGTTCACCTGATGTTGTTAGTTATAACATGTTGATTAACGGATACTGCAAAGCGAGAAGAGTTGACAAGTCAAAGATGCTTTTCCAAGAAATGCTTCAGAGGGGCCTGATTCCTAATGTCATCACATACAACACTCTTGTGAATGGATTTTGCCAGGTCGGGAACCTTCAAGCCGCCGAGGAGCTAATTAACGAAATGCAATCTCGCAATCTATCTCTAAATCATTATACATTGAATGCGTTATTGGATGGCTTGTGTAAAACACAACAGATTGACAAGGCCATGATATTGCTTCGAAAGATGGAAGATTCCAAGTTCATCCCAGACATTGTAACTTACAATATCCTAATGAATGGCATGTGTAATGCCGGAAAACTCGACGATGCAATGGGGCTGTTTAATTGTTTGCATGCTCGAGGCATGCAACCTAGCGTGTGGACATATAGTGTCATCATGCATGGATTGTGCAAAGGAGGACGCACGGAGGAAGCATATCAGCTGCTAAAGGAGATGGAACGAAACGCATGCTTTCCAAATGGTGTCACTTACAACATAATAATCCAAGGGCTTCTAAGACATAACGAAAATACGAGAGCAGCGCAACTGGTCGGTGAAATGGTTGAAAGGGGATTTTCTGCAGATGTAGTGACGATGGAGTTGTGGGTTAAATATCTCATGATAAGTGGAACTTCATCCTTTTCTAGTTGAACTCTCCATTGTGTCAGAGATCTGTCCACTTTTTCATCTGAAATGTGATGAAGAGTTAACCAGATTAACGGCAAGTTTTCTTCCACACATTATCTCAATGAGTCCCATGTGCCATTTATAAAGTTGTTTCAAGTCTGGGAGATTTTTTCTCTTGCTTCATTATAAAGCTTTTGGAGGGGTGGAAGGTAGATTTTGTTTCTCGTATGCCTAGGGTCTGTAAGAAGTCGCTGTATTTAACTGGTACATGTACTTGTCGATTTGTGCTTCTGATGCCTAGTATTTATCAAACAGGTGAAATTCATAAGAATGATCAAGCGGTGTGAGGATGTTCTTGAATTAAATAGATCATAGATGCTAATAGCAATAACTTTACTATGTACTAAAGTCATGCAATTCAGACATTATACACAAATAACATGAACCTCTTCCTCAAAATGGAACTAAAGAAAACAAATTTCCTTTTTTCCGGGGTGTTATGTATGTGCTTGGAGAGAGAGAGAGGGAGATACTGGTGTTCTTTTATTTTCTTTTCCTAACACGATCTGATCCCTTCAATGACTTATTTACCATAGTTCTTCAAAGAAGATGCATGGGTGGAAGTGGATGGTATTTGATCATGGTGATGGGCACTTTGAATCAATAGCATTGAATACTTGTGGTGGGCTGGGTACTCAGATTATCATTGCAGGCCGATTACATATTTGGGTTATTTGCTCTGCTTCTTACAGCGAAGTTTGAGGGACGGCTTGCTGACTAAGGAACATGGCTGCAAGTGTATGGAAACAACTTGCAGTAACTTTTCCCTTGCACTGTGAGGGATTTTCCGAAAAGAATGAGCACCGCTGACAGACATTGCCCGTGCCAAACCACGTTGACGTCTTGAATGGCACCAATCAACTTCATTACAGACAGGCCCATAGGATGTAACTTTCTTTACGCTCTCAATAGAGGTACATTCATTGCCAATTTTCTGTTTTAATAACTGACTGAGGAACACAAGTTTCGGTTTGTTTTTGCGTTTCACTCACAGCAGCAGGGTTTGCCTGGACAGTCTGCCTCTCATCACGCCCTCCACCCTTTGATTCTTGACACATACAATCATCGTAGCGTGCAAGCAAATGATTGTTTAGTGCGGTGTCAGGATGCTCTTGAGTTTGGTAAATGTTAGTGGCAGTAAATTTACTTTGTACTAAAGATCTGCAATGCAGACGTTATGGACCAATATCATGGACCTAAAGAAAACAAAAGGACTCTGGGGTTCAAAATATTATGCTATAAATCCTGATTAGCTTGTAATGTATGTGCTTGGAGAGAGATGCTAGTTTTCTTTGGTACAGTTTTGTTAACGCAATCTGATCCCTTCAATGTCCTATAGTTACTTCAAAGAAGATGCATACGTGGAAGTGGATGGTACTGGATCATGGTGATAGGCACTTTGAATTAATAGCGGAGAATATTTTTGGCAAGCTGGTTACTCAGATTATCATCGCAGCCAGATTACACATTTGGGTTTTTTGCTCTGCTTCTTACGTGGCAAATTATAGCGAAGCTATGTGCTCTGCTTCTGGCTAAGTAACATGGCAGCAATGCTATCAAAACTACTTGCAGTATCAAAACTACTTGCAGCAAGGCCGCCTGGCGGCCTCGCTCAAATCTGGCGACAACCTTTGCCGCCTCGCCCGTGACCGGCAAGGCCACAACGGCCTCGCCCTCGGGCCTTCGCGGCCACGAGCGAGGCCGCCAGATCTCGTGGCCGCCCAGATCTGGCGATGGCCTTCTCGGCCTTGCTCGCCGCTGGCGAGGCCGCAACGGCCTCGCCCACGGCTTTCGCGACCGAGGACAAGGCGGTCGTCTCCCAATCTGGGCGAGGGCTTCACAGCCGGCGAGGGTCGCCGGTGATCCTCACCGGCATTGAAAAAAAAAGGAAAAGAAAAAGAAAATTTCAAAAAATTCAAAAAAATAAAATGAAAAATATTTAAAAAATTCACGTCGGATGGAAAATTAATAAAAAAATTCATGTATGATGGTTTGTTGGAAATGGCACTCAAATGATCTATTTTCACTGAAAATGACACTCAAGTGATTTTTTTTTATCGGAAGTGGCACTTAAGTGAATAAAAAAAAAGTTACGACACTCAAGTGAGCATCGTACGAAAGTTATCGGACTCTTTATAGTATTACTTTACCCTCCTTATTCATCGCGGGTCGGTAATTTGTCCCACGAAATTTTATCGATTTCGATTTGCACATATATGACAAATGACATTAAAACTACAGTCTTTTTTCTACTACCTACTTCTTTTTCAATTCAGTTCATTTAATCCTATCGAATTGATTTGGTCATATAAGAGCGAGGTTCCGAATTACCGATCTATCAGCTAGCAGGTCTCAACTGCATTTTCACTTGAATTCTCTAGCATAGCGATAAACGGCGCCATGAACTTCTCTTTGATTTCATAGAACTGCTCCATTCCCACAGGGGCAGAGATGTTTTAAGGGGAGAAAAGCTTTTAGTTTTGCAGTTGTCAATATGGTGTACATGAAGCAACTATTAACGGCAAAATTTTTTTTTTAACGTAACAGATGATGCTGTACTGCATTTAGTTGAACAGAACTGCGTGCAAGAGTCATCACATATCCTAACAATTTGCCGTAATCGAACGACGCAAGAGAGATGTCTTAAGCTTTTTATTCAGAAACAAGCTTTCACTATCTCCATATCTGAGATAGCCATTGCTCTTTTTATAACAGGAAAAGAAAAAAAAAGCGCTCGAGTGAATCTTCTTTAATCAGAGAATAGGCAATTCTCATGTCTCATCCTACAGTCCTGAAACTGCATCTGAACCCCTGTGCTCATGCCGCATTCGTCGAGTATGTTACTCTTTGCAAAGCTCACGCAAGTAGCGCAATCAGTAAATGAAAGAGTTGTACTGCAAACAGCATGGCCATAAGCCGTTGCTTCAGCGTAAAGCAGACTGGGTGTAGTAATCGTAGCCAGGGTGGTTTGCCGTCACAGTCGCCATATCCTTGAGGACATATGATACGCTGCTCGCGTACGGATCACTGCTTCCATAAACATTGACGTTGCAAATCTTGTTCACTTGCGTCACGTCCGGATCGCCTCGGACAAAAGTGAACACGAAAAGGAGACCACAGAGAGTGAGAGCAAATCGACGAACAAAAGCCATACACGTGTTTATTCTTCTCTTTTCTTTACCAACTCTCACTCTTTCTTTTCTGTGCATCTGATTTGAGTTGAGTGTAAGACTATATATAAAGAAGCATTTGTCTTTGTTTCCTCCGATAGTTCGAATAATAGATTATTATATCCATTAGTATGCTTTGTCGATGCTAGATGTCTATTTGAAAGATGCTTTATTGTAGCCCAGGACACGCGAGTCCTATCATTGACAAAACTCTCACTCGTACCTAGTCGTGCCCAAAGCATTAATGGTGGCCGCCAAGGTCATATCATTGGCAGATTGAGTTGACCCATATGAGTTGAAAGGGTCCGGTAAATAGGGGTAAGCATCGATTCAATGTTGATCTTAGAACCGGAACGGATCAACCCTACTGGGACAATTTTAGTTCAATTCATTGAAACTAGCTATTATCGGTCAGGTTTCTAATTCTAGGTGCAGAACCAAATGGAACTAAGGATGAGATACCCTAATTCTCTCCTTTTAATTTTACATTGCATCTTGTATTCTTATTGTTTCCGTCTATCTCAAATTTCTCTCTCTCTCTCTCACTCTCTCACTCTGCTTCGCCCACTTCTTCACATATGCTCGATGTGAATTAGCCATCCGAAGCTTACAAGCCTCGCGTAGATCGCTTACTCTGCGGTACAAGAAGAATCGAAGACTCTTGAGTTCCATTTCTCCAATTCCAATAGATAGAAAGTTTTTTTCCGGAGGCATTTGTGCTGTGTAATTGAAGAATCGAAGTCTCGAGCAACACTCTCAAGGAATAATAAACATGAAACCCAAAAAAAAGAAAAGAAAAGAAAATGGCCGGTTTCCGAGTATACCTTAGAACCAGACTGGACCGACAGAGTCAGTTCCAGGGTCTACATTGTAGGTTTCACGTTACAAAAATTGAGAACCGACCCCGACATGGTAATTTCTAGGAATCTACCTACCTTAAAATCGCTCACCCCTATTGGTGAGTCATAGAGACACGGAGTCACTTGCAATCATTTTCTAAGTTCTCTCTTCTTCTCCTACTCTATGGTGACTTGGGCATCGGAGTGCTTATCCGGAAGCTCTCCGCGGGCTCCTCCTCGCCCATTTCTCTAAGCATCCAAAAGTGAACTTGCCAATGTCCAAATTAACCATATGATAACAAAAACGATAATTGTGTGACGTCCATCAATATTTGCCGCTCCTGTTTACAATGATCTTTGTTGATCTCAATATTCAATTCAGATTGTCTCATTTTCATTTGTCTCTGACAATACTTGTTCCTTGTGAGGCTTATTTCTATTTTCTTCTCAACTTCGATAAGATTTTCATTTTTTTTTTTTTCAGTCTTGAACCATGACATTACCAGAGCTCGACTTCACGGTGTAGGGTCTTTGTTAATTTAATCATGATAACATATTTGCTGCTGTGAAATCAATGACATGAGATATACCGTGTCGTAACTATAATTTGACCGATAAACTTCTTTTAATCTTTACAAAAGATCACTGAACTTAAGTGGATTTCGAAATCAAGTTACTGAATTTTGATTTCAGCCACTCATTGATTTTTTGCAATCGATGCTCTTTGATTGGAGTCCAGCCACTTTTTCCAAAAAGTGCAAACATGGCAGACACATGGCAGTGACGCGTCTCCCAGAAAATTAGCCAATAACGGAGTCTAGTATTGAACCAACCGTTGATGAAATTTGATGCGCAAGCGGCATAATCCAAGTGAAAGACTCTGTCGTTCGAACATGAAATCCTTTACATCTAAATCAAGCGCTTGATCAATCGCTACATCCTTTGGAGTCAATTGCTAGTCTAATATTTCCATCCATTTCCGGAGGATCACAGAAACACTGAAGTAACGGCAAAAGTACACTATAAGTGTCATGACTTGTGTATGGTGATCACTTTGGTGCCATAACTTTTTTTGGATCACTTTGGTGCCAAGTCGGAGGAAAATAAATCACTTTAGTGACTCCGGCCAAAAAGCTGACCTGGCATTTATATTAAAAAAATGGTCTGACTTGTACACGTGAAAATTATGTGGCTTTTTTTCGAATTTTTTAATTTTTAAAAAAATAATAATAATTAAAAAAAAAAAAGTTGCAGTAGCGGCGAGGGCTCCCTCGCCGCTGCTGCCGCCAACCCACCACCGCCAGGTAGGGCCGGCGGTGGTGGGCATAGTGGTCGGCGAGGTTCGCCGGCCCCTGGCCGAGGCCCGGCGACCCTCGCCTCGCGCAGCGAGGGCCGGATCCGGCGAGGCAAAACCTCGCCTTTGCTGGGCGAGGCGAGACCTCGCCGTCGCGACCCAGGCGACGGCGAGGTCTCGCCTCGCCCAGGGATCCGGCCCTCGCTGGGCTCGGCGAGGGTCGTCGGGCCCCGACCAGGGGCCGGCTACCGTCGCCGACCACTGTGCCCACCACCACCGCCGGGGCCGGCCCTTCCCGACGGTGGTGGGTTGGCGGCAGCAGCGGCGAGGGCTCCCTCACCACTGCTGCTGCCTCTTTTTTTTTTAAAAATATAATATAATTTTTTTTAAAGTACACGTCAGCGGGCTAAACGGCGTCGTTTTTTGTTTTTAATGCTGACTGGACCTCTCCGGCGAGCCGTGTCAGCGCCACATCGGATTTCCGGCGAGCCACGTCGGCATTGGCACTAAAATGATCGTTTTTCAAAAAAGTTGGCACCAAAGTGATCCAAAAAAAAGTTATGGCACCAAAGTGATCGCCGTACACAAATTATGGCACTTATAGTGTACTTTTGCCCTGAAGTAACATTACCAGATAGGCATTACACAATAAGCCATTTCTACTAGTTTCACTCTTATTTCTTTTGGATGTACATTAAGTTGCATGAGGCATAGCATAACTCACAACATCTGGCGAGTTTCAACCCCAGATTGACATCGTTGGCAATTGAATCATCCACTGAATTTCGCTACCAACGAAAACCCGAAACGAGCTTGAGTTCAACCTTCTTTTGAAAGACGTTGGTGTCAAGGTTCAAAAGCTTTCTCTTCTGTATATTCACTCCTATTTGAAAATGACAGGATGGTGCCTTTGCAAATTTATGAGGAATAAGCGTATTGAAAGTCATAAAACTTATTATGAAAGTAGAATTAAGTCTTAAAACTTTCAAAAGTGCAATTACGTCATAAAACTTGTCACGAAGTGCACTTGAGTCTTAAAACTTTTAAAAAATGCTATCAAGTCCTAAAACTTGTCAAATTGGTCAAATCAAATCTTTTTGCTGATTGCATTTTTTAAAAGTTTTATGACTCAATTGCACTTTCGTAATAAGTTTTAGAACTCGATTGTACTTTTTGAAAGTTTTAAGACTCAATTCCAATTTCGCAACAAGTTTTAGGACTGGATTACACTTTTTGAAAATTTTAGGACTTAATTGCACTTTTCGTGATAAGTTTTGGGACTTCTGATGCATTTATCCCATTTCTTTAAATTTTTCTTTTCAAATTTATTTGCACATAACTTCACATCCACTATTTCCTTTTACTCTTAAATTTTGGATTATTTTATTATGGGATCCTTTTACTTAATTTGGTTTCTCTCATTTAGTAGAATTTTGCCTCCAACACTTTTTGAAGTACTGACTTTTTGTTATATTTCCATGCTCCAAGGGTATTTTCTTTAGTATAACCGTAAAATGTGTAATAAAGCATTGCATTCAGAGCATGTGTCGTCACAACATATGCGTACTTTCCAATTTTTTATAAGTATTTTAATCTATAGGTTTTCTTAACATATTTTATTTTATTTACTTACATCTTTTTATTTCGTTAATTCACTTTATTTATTAGATAAATTTTTTTATCGAAATAACAAATTCACATGAAGAGCTTAAAGTGGGTTAAATGGGTGTGCACGCGTTTTCAAAGGTATTACATTGCATAAAAATGGATCAATACGTGTTAAATAGGCTGATTTGGATGTGACAATTTTTATACACGACTCAAAACCGGCCCGACCCACCAATTTGATGGGTCTCGGGGTTTCACACGAAATTCTTCGCTATAATCATAATTTGATCAGTAATCTGTATTTTGTGGCTCCATTGGTCTCTCGAGTTCAATCAATTCGCATGCGTAAGGAAGAGAAGCCAGAATTGTCAAATTACTATCTTCTCCTATCCAACTTGGATGATGATTGTAACAGTTGCTTGCCAAATTTAGGTCAACATGCTCTCTCCACGTAGTTGAGTTTTAAGTGTAATTGTTTATGAGAGTGAATTTTCTACAACAATTTAGCGGAAGTTTTTGTTTTATATCAGGAATTGCTAAATTGAGTACAAAAATTTGATTTGAAAGTTAGAAAACTATGTTGGATCTTGGTAAAGCTATGAGTCTCATGACTCGATAACCTAAGTCACAAAAGGCATTGTCCACATTGGTCCATTGCATAGTAAACCTCATGATTTTATCTTTTGGTATACCGGTAATCACTGCAATCCAGTTTATCTTTTGATATATTAATTCGGTAAACTCGAAAAATACGTACCCTTGGATACAACATTGACGACCTTACAAGATTAAACTTCAGTGAATTTCCATTACTAATATCGGCTTTTATGGAATTAATCTCCCTTTTAACTGTACCAGAAGATATGGAGCTTGGCATGAATGAAAGCACGGGAGAACGTTCTTTTGCTGATATTATTACCGATATTCTATACTAGGTTATTATAGTATTACTCTGATCTGGTTATATAGGAACGAGGTTCGAGTGTACCGATCTGTTAGCTGGGAGATCTCAACTGCAGAAATTCCACTTGACACCTATCATAACGTATAATGGCGCCGGGACCTTCTCTTGATTTTTCATGAACTTCCGTTGCTCACGGGGCAGAGATGTTTAAAGGGGAGAAAAGCTTATACCGTTGCAATTGTCAATACGGTGTACATGGAACAATTTTCAACGGAAAACAAAATAGATGATGCTGTACTTCATTTAGTTGAGCAGAACTAGGTACTAAGAGCCATCACATATCCAAACAATTTGCCCTACTTGAACCCCGCAAAACAAATGTCCTAGCTTTTTATTCTGAAACAAGCTTTCACTATCTCCATATATGAGATAGCCATTGCTCTTTTCTATGTTGAAAAAGGGAAAAAAACTAGAAAAGAAAATTGCTAGATAGAAAGTGCTCGAGACCTCTTCTTTAATCTGAGAACGGGTAATTTTCATATCTCATCCTACAGTCTTGAAGCTGCATCTGAACCCCCATGCTCATGCCGCATTCGTCGACTATGCAACTCTTCGCAAAGCTCACGCAAGTAGCGCAATCAGTAAATGAAAGCGTTGTGCTGCAAACAGCATGGCCATAAGCCGTTGCTTCGGCATAAGGAGACTGGGTGTAGTAATCGTAGCCAGGGTGGTTCGCCGTCACGGTAGCCATATCCTCGAGGACATACGATACGCTGTTCGCGTACGGATCGCCGCTTGCATAAACATTTCCGTTGCAAATCTTGTTCACTTGCGTCACGTCCGGATCGCCTCGGACAAAAGTGAACACGAAAAGGAGAGCGAGGAGAGTGAGAGCAACTCGACGAACAAAAGCCATAGCCAGGTTTATTCGTTTCCTTTCTTACCAACTCTCACTCTTTCTTTTCTCTGCATCTGATCTGAGTTGAGCGCAGGAGCGCAGGACTATATATAAGGCAGCACTTGTCTTTGTTTCCTCCGATAGTTCGAACGATAGATTGGAATATCCATTAATATGTTTTGTCGATCCTGGATGTCTCTTTCTAAAATGCTTTCTGCTATCCGTTTTTCCATGTAGAGTTCTACATGTATTGACGTAAATGCCGTCTATTAGATATCTTGTGAGTAAACCTTTTTCGCTACATTTGATTGGAGAGATACGGCTCAGTTTCAATTGGGTGAAAAATCTGTCGATGGATTACTCGCGATGCCGCCCCCTCGGTCCCGGTCCGTCGCATCATTGGCAGATTGACTTGATCCACATGAGTTAAAAGGCGGGGTATTAGCACGGGTCACTGCAAGAACCGATTCTCATCTTGCGTATAAGTAGAGGCCCGGTGAGTCGTAGAGACTCGGAGTCACTCGAACTTACGTTCAAGTTCTCTCTTCTTCTCCTATTGTACAGTTACTTGGGCATCGGAGTGCTTGTCCAGAAGCTCTCCTAATCCAAATTTGTGAGCTTCCAAAAGTAAACTTGCCAGTGTCCAAATCAACCATCTGATAACAAAATCGAAAATAGTGTGACCGTCCATCATTATCTGCCGCTCGTGTTTACAATGATCTTTGCTGATCTCGATATTCAATTCAGATTCATCAGATCTCGTGTCATTTTCATTTGTCTCTGGCGAAACTTGGTTTTCCAACTTCGCTAAGGTTCTCATTTTCGTGCGAAACTGTCGATCTACTATTTGCCGCTCATGCTTACATTTATCACTTTGTTCATCTTATTAATAAAAACTCAGATTATGACCGCATCGTCTAATTTTCATCATTTGTCTTTGGTAATTTGTGTTCTAGTTAGTCTTATATCTATTATATATTTACGGGATCATTAGAGAATTTATGTCATCTTTTTTATTAATCATGATAAACATATTGGCATTATGAAAACTAACGATCCCCAAGATTTTTTTTGTAATGCAAGGGCACGGGCTTAAAGACCTGGCTACCTAGAGGCCCATGAAATACCCCACAATCCCCAAAAAAACTGGTACTTTTGCTTGTGCAAATAGCCTTGATTCATAGCAATTTGCAAGTAGTCTATAGAATTCAAACGGATGACCCTCGGTCCTAAGTTGAAAATCCTCAGATTCGCTCAAGGACCTTCTGGTTTAGGCAAATATCTAACGTGTTCCCTGACAAGAGAAGTAATTTTTGGAGGGAAAACTATGCATTTTTGGGATATGTGTGCTCCCTGGTTAGAACCTAGGGGTCCAAATGGATTGGACTTGAGTAGGCTGAAAGAAGACATACAACCTTGGCAAGAACGGCGTTCTTCTGAATATATGACTCCTGCTCCTTTAGGTTCATTAAATTATGTAGTTGGTGTTGCTACCGAGATCAATGCAGTGAAGAACAAATCAAAACATAACACTAGTTGCTCATTCCAATTAAATTTTTCCACAAATTGAAAAAATCGCTGTGAAACCTATAATGTTACATGTAACTCACTTATTATAGTAGCACATTATAACATCTTCAATTTCATCTTGAATATTAACAATAAATAAAATAAAACTACATATGCCACCGATTCCAAGGGGCATCGATCCGATTTCTGGTTCCAGAAACTAAGAAACGGTCCCTCTTCCTAGGTGAGAATCGGACCGCCCGAGAACCAATCACCCATAAATGTAGTACTTTCGACCAATTTTAGTCGAAAATCGCAATTGTGAACATTGACCGTTCTACATAAAACAGTCGGCACTGACATGGACAATTTTTAAAATTTTTATGAACTTTTTTTTATAAATTGTTATAATTTATTTCTTTTCGTTTCTCTTTTCTTTTTTTATTTATTTGTAGCGAGGGCCTCGAACCCCTCAAGGATCACGGGCTAGGCCCTTGCCCGCAACCAACGAGGGTCAGCGACCCATAGTGAAAAGAGGAAAAGAAAGAAAAAATTACAAAAATTACAAAAATATTCTAAATAAAAAGTTCACATCAGCGCTGACTATGTTAAGTAGGACGGTTGGCATCCACGTCAGCAATTGCCTGCTAAAATTGACCGGAAGCACTACATTGGCAAATTGTCAAAAGGTTTATGACTAAATTAGCCAAATTGAAAAGTTTAGAACTGAATTGGTATCCGTACAATAAGTTTATAACTTTTTTGGTAATTTTCTCCTTTAATCGTGATAAATGTATTTGCTTCTTCGATATCAATGACATGAGATATATTGTCGGAGGTATTATTTGACCGATAAACTCTTTTTGGGTAACTCTGATGGACATGGATTTTGTAATCAAGTTACAGAACTTTGATTCCAATCACCCATTACACTAAACCTTCGATCTTTTACAATTGGTGCACTTTGACCGAAGTCCAGCCACTCTTTCCACAAATGACATGTTCCCCAGAAAATTGGCCAATAATGAAAGTATGGATTGAACCATGATCGGGAATGAAATTGATGCACAAGCGGCCTAATTCGAGTGGAAGACCCTGTCGTTCAAACGCGAAATCTGTTGTACCCGAATCAAACGCTTGACAATAGGGTGAATCCCTTTGGAGTCAATTGCTAGTCTGTTGTTTCCATTCATTGCCGGAGGATAATAGAAACACTGAAGTAACATTGTTAGACAGGAATTACACAATCAAGCTATTGTCTACCTAGTTTCACTTTCATTTCTTTTGGATGTAAATGAAGTTGCATAAGGCATTCTTCACACCACCTCGCAAGTTTCGACTCCAGATTTACATCGTGAATCATCCGCTATATTTAGCTACCAACGAAATGAAAGTGAACCTAGGTACCGGTATGTTCATATAATAACGAGGATCGAGTGTACCGGTCTGTTAGCTAGGAGGTCTCGACTGCATATATTGCTACATTTCCACTTGAAACCGATCGCAAAGATAAATGGCACCGAGACCTTCTCTTGATTTTTCAAAACTACCCGGTGATGCGCTCCCGCTGGGGAAGAGATGCTTAAGGGGAGAAAAGCTTATTAGTTCTGCAATAGTCAATACGGTGTACACGAAGTAACTATTAAAGGAAAAAGAAAAACATAGATGGTGTGGCACTTCATTTAGTTGAACAGAACCAAGTACAAGACTCATCACATATCCTTAAAAAATTGCCGAACTTGAAACAAAACAAATGTCCAAGCTTTTTATTCGGAAACAAGCTTTCACTATCTCCATAACTGAGATGGTCATTGCTCCTTTTGATAATTGAAAGAGGAAAAAGTTAAAAGGAAAACGGTGGACCAAAAGTATTCGAGACCTCTTCTTTAATCCGAGAACGGGTAATTTTCATATCTCATCCTACAGTCCTTAAGCTGCATCTGAACCCCAATGCTGTTCGGGCAGTTGTTGAGTATCCGGCTCTTCGCAGAGCTCATGCAATCACCGCAATCAGTAAATGAAAGCGATGTACTGCAAACAGCATCATTCATAAGCTGTGGCTTCAACGAAAGGAGACTGGGTGTAGTAATCGTAGCCAGGGTGGTTCGCCGTCACGGTCACCATATCCTCGAGGACATACGATACGCTGTTCGCGTACGGATCACCGCTTCCATAAACGTTGCCGTTGCGGATCCTGTTTACTTGGGTCGTATTCAGCTGGCCCAGGACAAAGTTGAACACGAGAAGGAGACCGAGGAGAGTGAGTGCAAATCGACCAACAAAAGCCATAGCCATGTTCATTCTTTTCTTTTCTTACCAACTCTTTCTCTCTTTCTTTCCTTCTTTTGCAGATAACTTAAGAGTTAATGTGTGAGACTATATATAGAGAAGCGCTCATCTTCGTTTCCTCCGATAATCTGAGTAATAGATTATTATGTCCATTACTATGCTTTGTCGATCCTTGATATCTATTTCTAAGATGCTTTCTTCGATCCATTTCTCCCTCTAGTTCATGTTTATCCGTATTCATGAAGTAAATTCTTTTCCCTACATTTGCCTGGAGAGATATGGCCTAATTCAAATTAGCTAAAAAAATCGGGAAATTGTAGGGGAAGTCCTAAATCTTGTATATGGAATACAGTCAAGTCCTAAAACTTTCAATTGGTTCGATTAATTCCTAGGCTTTCTTCGAGAAGTGCAGCCAAGTGCTTTCGACAATTGTGTGACGTCCATCACTATTTGCCGTTCGTGTTTACAATTATCTTCGTTGATCTCAATATTCATCTTGTGTCATTTTCGTTTGTCTCTAACGATACTTGTTCCTTGTCAGGCTTCTTCTTTTTTATTTTCTCTTCAACTTCGCTAAGGTTCTCATTATTTCTGCCTTGAACTGTGATCTAGGAAGCACGGACACTCTCCGGGGGCCTCCGTGTCGGTGTCCGATGCTTGTCGGTGTCCGACACATGATCAATAGGCTTTAGACATCCGACACATGGTCAATTCTCTAGACATGCCAGGGACACGCGAGTCCAGCATCCCAACACGACGTTCTGACATACACGAGGTCAATTTTAAACATTTTAAATAAATTAGGAGTCAAAATGTAAATTCATTATAGGCTCTTTTTATTATTTATTTATTTGTGAATTTGAATCAAATTAATTTGATTGAAATAATCATAAAATTGATAATTTATCATGCATATAAAAAAAATATACGCTTATTATATAACGTATCCCAACATGTCGGAATTCTCTATTTTTTTAATAAATGACCTATCGGTATGTCGTGTCGCATCGTATCGTATCACGTGTCAGTATCGATGCTACTTAGACTGTGATCTTTACCAGAACTCGACTTGAAGGTATATGATGTTCGTTAATTTAATCATGATAGACATATTTGCTTCTTTGAAATCAATGACATGAGATATATTGTGTCATACCTATTATTTGACCAATAAACTCTTTTTGGATAATCGTTACGAGAAGTCAGAGTGGATTTTGCAATCAAGTTACATATCTTTGATTCCAATCAACCATTGTGTTTGACTTCTGATCATGAGTTCGACCGTAGTCGAGACATTTTTTCAACAAAGTGCAAACATGGCAGACGCGCGGCAATGTCGTGCTCTGAGTGGAAGACTGTCGTTCAAACACGAAATCTGATACATCCAAACAAAACGCTTGATCACTCGGTGAATCCTATCGAGTCAATTGCGTTTATATTATTTCCGGCCATTGCCGGAGGATCACAGAAACACAGAAGTACATTGCTAGATAGTCATTTACACAATCAAGCTATTGTCCACCTAGTCTCACTGTCATTTCTTTTCGATGTACATGAAGTTGCATAAGGCATTACTCCCACCACCTTGTGAGCTTCGACTCCATATTTACATCATTAGTACTTGAATCATCTGCTGAATTCTGCTACAAATGCAAACCCGAAACGAGGTTGAGCTCAAACTTCTTTTGAAATTCGTCGGCATCACGAGTCACGAATTTTTGCCATCTGTGCATTCATTCCTATTTGGAAATGTCAGGAAGCTTAGGAATAACTAATCAGTCCATGAGTTGCAGTATGTGCTCTGCTCATTAGTTGTCACCCTTCCTCAACCCCATGGCTTGACAATCTGAAACGAGCATAGCAAACTCGCATTCACATTCATCAGCGCCCCGGCATTGTCGAATTCCCCGCAGTAATTAGGAGCTGAAAATATGGTAACCAGCTGTCGGTCTGCGAAGAATTCGTAACCATCTTCAGCCACCTGCAAAAAATCTTTCAGCCAAAATGTAAGCAACACCATCTCCATAGAGCAAAAGATCTATTGACAATTATCAGGTCTTACCAATGCATTCCCTTGTTTTGATCGAATTCAACAGAGACAACGGTGTGTAATTCTCACATATTTTTTTTTGCTTTCAATACTGAAATATGGTTCATCGGAACCAGAATGAGTTTCATGTTTATGACAAGCTCTTACAAGACAGAATCTGTAATTCGCAGCACACTCAGACTGAAAAAGAAAAAACCTTTCATGTGAATACAAGTTAATTGAACAGAAAGAATTTTGATGCATCGAAAATGACCTGGTGAGCGCGGCATATTAGATCAAGGTCGTGTTTCTTTAGGAACTCTTCCACTTTGTCAGCTCCGAAAGTATAAGAAACGCCCCTGTCGTTCTCGCCCCAACCTTTTATCTCTCCATCAGGATCCGCCCAAAGCAGGTCACACAATAGCCCCTGGTCCGGCACGTCTGTGGGCCTTTCTAGATCCCTGATCTGATCCAAGTTCTCAAGCTCCGGCGAGAGTCCACCATGCATGCAAATGATCTTGTCATCAATCACTGCTGCCACCGGCAAGCAATTGAAGCAATCCGTAAAGATCTTCCACAGACGGACACTGAAGCGACGCTTGCACTCGTCGTAGAAGCCGTAGATCCGGTTAATGGAGGCACACTCATGGTTCCCTCGGAGGAGGAAGAAGTTGTCCGGGAACTTGATTTTGTAGGCTAGGAGGAGGCAGATGGTCTCTATGCTTTGCTTCCCTCTGTCGACATAGTCTCCGAGGAACAAGTAGTTGGAATCCGGTGGGAAACCGCCGCTTTCGAATAATCTCAGTAGGTCTGGGTATTGTCCATGTATATCACCTGGAAAGGTAAGGGAAGAAAATCATTCATGAAGTTGTTTCATAGACTAAATCCAAGAAATTGATGCGAGATAATTCGAGCTATCGGACGGTCCGTTCTATGAGAGCAGTCCCAAGAGAATCGACGCCAGAAAGAAGCAGAACTGAAGCCCTTGCACTCGAGCGTTCGCTTGGCGTACATGTACATATTTCCATGCTCATTATAACCCAAACTGGCCTAAACATCGGGGGGACTTGCTTCCGTCAAAACACTTCAGTATCAACACCATTCTAGTATTTGTATTCTTGTCGATCTAGCAAACAAAAACTTCTGAAAATTTCTTCGACACATCTAGCATTTCTTGTTAGCCAACAGTGCCGGAGTGCTTCATACTTGAAAGGAAATTGCCAACAAGTACATTGTATGCATTAAGCCCGTTTCCTCACAGTTTAAGAATCTTCTGCGATCATCAATAAAATCACAACAAGCAAATTCATTTGGACATTCGTCGGAACAAGAAATGAAGAGGAAAAGAAGGGTGGCAGGGTTTTCAGGAGAACAATAAATGAATCCAATTTGATAGGATTCACCTCATCGAACCTCGTACTTTATTAAACTTCAAGTTTCGCCCTGTGAAATAAACTCTGGTAATGCATTTCGTTTTCGAAAACCCGAGCTGACATTGTTATTGTTATCCAAGTCTCGTGTTGCAGAAAAAGCCACGGAACAACAAGATTCTCTGGAGTCTCTCAGCCATTCCCCGGACCCCATGAACCTTAATTTTGAGCAACAAGGTAACATTACCACACGCAGTTCAAAGCATCATCCTTAATACCTTATAAGCCAATTCCTTGTCGAGATATCTTTAAACATAACACAACCCGCACAATCGTTCGCCCGATTGAATCTCAATGACTTGTCGCGGTGAGCCAAATCGCGTGATCACAGACAGAGAAAAGTCCATAATCCCTCGATCTTCCATTGCTTATGCATACCACGACCACAATAGCACAAAAAGATTGGAAGGAACACAGGATTACCGCAGATGTTAATGGGGGCTTCTAATTCAAGGAGATTGGGCTGTGCAAGAAAGATTTGTTTGGCGACAACGCAAAGCCGACGAATCTCGGGCTCGATCAGCTGAATGCATTTTCCTCTCTTTTTCCTTCCTTCCAACAATCTCTCTATCAACCCTCCAACTTCTTCCAGAAAACCATCCATGCTGACCTCCTTTGTTCCTTTTGAATTCATTTGTGATCAGATTCAGATGAATCAAGAATCATACAAGAAAGACTTGGCCAGAGAGCAAGGATGATGGGTTTAGAGAGAGAGAGAGAGAGAAAGAGAGAGACAGAGAGACAGAGAGAGAATATTGGATTGTTATTAATAGTGTGCAGTTGAATGAATTGGATGGTTCAGATCTGGCACATAAAGGGGAAGAAACATTCTACTATGCCCCCTCTTTGCCCAACTTGCACATACCAATGGCATCACTTTGTTACGAGAGCCCACAATAATCTCTAGTGGATAAAAAGTGCCTCCATCAAAATAGTCACAATCCTTATCCCAATAGCTAAGGGAACCAAAAGCGTCCCATCACTGCACAGGGGCATCCATTTTCTTTTGCTATATATCGCAATGAATATTCACCATTGACGCCCGATAAAACATTAGAGAACCATGCCGTGATATTAAAATCAAAGGAGACATTAAAATTCTCAGTGAGCATAGCCATCGCTTCTAAAAAAAGAAAAAAATATTCATTGATAGTGTCACACGAAACTTCATCACCAAGATGATGATGCTCGGCTTCATCAAGCGTCGAGCAAACAGAAGTAAATAGAAGTACTGAAAGTAACTTTTAAGGTAAATACAAGGACTACATAAGAAGATAAGAGCCCGTCCAGTGAACACTTGGGCCATATCCGAGGCATTATCAGAACTGAGACTTGTCGAGACTGTCAAAAAAAGGATGATCAAGTGCTGCTTTGGCTGAGATCCTTTCGGCAGGATCATATATCAGCATTTTCTGCATCAGTCAAGAATAACAATTAAGAGTTTACAGAATGTAGAAAATAACAGAGAGATGTATCTTGCCACAAGATTCAGGCTGCTATTTGCCAAAGAGCAACCAATGTTGGCTACTGACATGCATGATTGAGCACTACGAAAAGCTCAGATACTCAAATCAGAAGTAATATCTTTCCACATGTACAATATTTGTAACCATCGACACAACCTATACTTCCAATCCTTGGCCCTCTCATTTGCCAGAAGACAACTTCCGACTTTTTTCTATAATTTACGCTTGCTAGCAATTGTATTTTGAGGGCTTTCACTTCATTATAGATAATCGATTCACGCATTAAGCCAAGAATCAAGACAAATTATCACACAACTAGGAAACTTCCTTGATCAACTAAGAATCCATACTTATTGTACAATTCCACCCGTGCATCATTTGTTTTGCAAGCCTCCAACTCTTTTGACGAAGCCTTATAACAATGATCATGGGTCAATGGACGAAAACAGTTTTGGACAGGAAGGGCAAAATTCAAGCCAAATCTTCTTCTCGCATGTATTTATTTACCAGATATTCAAATGTCAACAAGGGTAGAGATACTAACCGACAGAAGGTCCACCCCATCAGGTCCAAGGGATGGAACAGCTCTTGCCAAGTTTTGAGGTTCCCATTGTGGAAAAACATGCCAATCCCTCAAAGCGGTAACTCCTGGCCATTGCTTCTCAGTTGGGGTTCCCAATAGCCTTCATTTGCAAATATCCAAATAAATCTTAGCAGAATTACTAGAACTCATCGATGTAACTTTAAACACACAAGGTACAACAAATTGAGATTGTCCCTTATCATTAGAGTGGAGAAAGTTCACATAAAATAGAACAACTGAAAGTGAGGTACTAATGTCAATTACTACCCAATTCACACTGTAGCCTAACAAATAGACAGGGGTGTGTTATTCTCTGCAAATCAAGGATTCAAAAATACATTGACAAAGATTGGCAAACATTAGAAAGAGTTTCAGATTAATGGGTGAAACAAATCACCTGAATATGTGAAGCAGTTGCTGAAACTCAGAGTCCCCAGGAAATAAGGCTTGCCTTCTTACCATCTCAGCTGTGATGAACCGGGACATCTAGAGTTAGGATAAGCAGGAGACAACAAATATACTTGCTATATGCTGAAGGAAATCAAAAAATAGATTGAAATCGACCAAAGCAAGGACGTGCGTCTGAAACTAATCACAGCACTAAACAGAAGGAACAGAGAAAGCCGGGACCTGTTGCTGACAGGGAACAAGCATCTCATGACTAGAAATGACAGAAAGCAAAGAAATGGAAGCACAGTCACTTGGCGCAGAACATGCGAGGAAGTGTTAACTCTTTTTCGTCGAGTCAAACATGATGCTAAAAGTGAGATGATCAAACAATTAACACCGTGTCCCCCGCATACCTTATGGACTCTACATCGCCATGACAAATCTGAAATCAAAGAACACGTAGAAGAACTCATAGCTATCCATGCTACAGAAACCCAAGACATACACATCGACATAGACAACCCATCCAATGTTGTCTATGACATCCGAACGAACAATATTCGAATTCCATATCGAAGAAGAACGCGATTTCAACAGAAGCAAAAGCCAGAGATCTAACATAATTGATCCAAAAGGCTATCAGAAAACGGAGCGAAGAAGATAAAAGAGACGACATCCGCCCACTTCCAGTGACAGATTTGATAAGATGGTTACCGAAGATACACCCAACGGACCACATATCCACGCCAATTGAATAGTGGCTAGATCCCAGCAGCACCTCAGGTGCTCTGTACCAGAGCGTGACAACCTGCGCCGAAAAACGTACGAGATCATCAGTTAGAAATCGGCAACACCCTCGCCCCTCCAAACACCGCGCGGCAGGGATCGGCGAAGAGCAAAAGACCTCGTGAGTGTAGCTCTTGAGCGGGACGGTGAAGGCGCGGCCCAGCCCGAGATCGGCGATCTTGAGGATCCCCTTCTCCTTGTCGACGAGCAGGTTCTGGGGCTTGAGATCGCGGTGGAGCACGCCGTGGCTGTGGCAGTGGGCGACGCCCTTGAGGAGCTGGTACAGGAAGTTCTGCACGAGCGCGGGCGGGACGGGCCTGGGGCTGGGCCCCTTGCGGTGCGAGTCGATGAACTTCTTGAGATCCGTGTCCAGGTACTCGAACACGAGGTACAGCATCGGCTTCCCCCCCGCCGCCGCGGCGGGGCCGCCCTGGCCCTGGTCGCCGCCGCCGCCGGCGCCGGCGCCGCCCGCCTCCGCCGGCGCCGCCGCCTTGCGCTTGGAGGGGGAGTCGACGTGCTCGACGGAGAGGAGGCGGACGACGTAGAGGGACTGGGAGAGGAGCTGGAGGAGGGAGACCTCGCGGAGGGCGGTGGGAGGGACGCCTTCCTCGTCCATCTCGAGGCGGGTCTTCTTGAGGGCGACGAGCTGCCCCGTCGCCTTGTCCTTGGCCTTGTAGACCTTGCCGTACGTGCCCTCCCCCACCTTCTCCAGCTTCTCGTACTTCTCCATCTCCGACCAATCTCCGATCACTCTACGATCTCCGATCGCCGATAACCGATCTCCGATCTCTCTCTCTCTCTCTCTCTCTCTCTCTCTCTCTCTCTCTCTCTCTCTAGAAATGGGGGCGGTGGTTTTCGGAACGTTGAGGGGGTTGCGGCGTCGGTGACGAATTTGAATTTGGTCGAGAGGAGGGAGATGAGTTGGCACGTGCCGCACGTGCCCTCCTGCCCTGGGTTTTGAAATTTCGAACGGGTCAGTGCCACGTCCTTGCTCTCGATGTTTCGCTTTTTTTTTAAAAAATAATTGTTTGTTTCACTTACAAAAATGAACAAATGAAAAAAAAATTATCTTCTATGAAAATGTTTAGATCTAAATTTGCCGTCGCTGATGAAATATTTTTCATTGGTTAAACGGTTATTTCAGATTTTTCGCGAAACAAATTGAGTCTTATTATGTGCAGCTGATTGTGGAACTGGCTATTATATTATGGATCCATTACAGTTTAAATGCTTATTATGTCGGTAATAGCCATAATAATTGCATGATCCACTGTATAGTAGCTATTACAGCATGACTCCAATAATTAATACCGAAATATCCTTGTACTTTATCTCGATCACTCTATCAATTGTTAATTATAATTAAGGATTATATAAAATTATGACCGAATTTATTTAGAGAATAATAATCATAATTATATCCATGCAATCCCATATTATACAGTAAATAAATATATTATTAACTAATAAGTAAATAATTGATGCGAAAGTAATTGTGCTATTATGATATTATATAGTTAATTGATGTTGAAAATGATTAATAATGTAATAATTAGCTTAACTTTAATTGTTTATTATTAGGTATGATTGTCTAAATCTTCATAATTAAGTACTATATTATTCATTTAATAAAATGTTAGTTACTAATAATATTAACCATGAATAACTATTATTTCAATCATACCTTTAATAACGTATATTATTTCAATGATACTATAATTTATGTAACAAGTAATACCTTTCAATATAATCACAAACTATATGAATATATCTAAATCATAATCATACATTAATTATTAAATAATAGAAATAAGTATATATTAAATTTAACCTCTTGATGATGTATATGGCATATATATCTCATGATTGGTTTTTTAAAGTGGTAATTACTATACGAGAAAATTCATTAATATAATCACATGTTATGTGCTCAACTTTTAATTATAATCATAAATAAAAAAAAATTTGTCAATCTTATTTTTAACTCTCATCTCTTTCTGACTTTTGCTCTGGAGACACGGGAGTCGAATCACACACTTATGCTACGAGCGTTCCCACCTCCCAATCCCTTTATCAACAAGACCGCTTGCCAATCATGAATAAATTATTAAAACATAAACAAATATTTTTTTATACATTCAAGCCCTAACGTGGGTCTTAATTAGGGGTGATCAGTTCTCGGTTCCCAAAATTAAGAACCGGGGACCGGACAAATTGGTGCTAGGACCGGGAATGGTTCCGATTCAATGGAACGGGTACCTTTTTTTTCCCACTACTTGATACCATATATTTTGAAACTAGAATTGTGTTCTCCATACCAACTACATATAATCACAAAAACAAGCGTGTAATTCGAGCAATGACAAATTGTGTTTCCCATACCAACAACACATATGTTCTAAAATTGGAATTATATTCCCCACGTCGACTATATATAATCACAAAAAAAAAAGATATATATAGTCGATCCAATCCGGTCAATCCAATTCTCCTTGAAACTGGGAACCGGACCGCCCGGACACTAGTTCCGCGTATAGGAACCGGGAATTGAACTGACATACTTAGGAACTGGATCAAACCAGCCTGTCCAGTCCGAACAGCTCCCAGTTTGGGCGGTCCATTTTGCACACCTCTAGTCTTAATTCTTATATGAGAGTCTCAAAGCCAACTCGCCTAAGCGTACGGACTCTGGAACTTTTTCGAAAGTTGTCTAATAAAGATTTTTTTTCTATACATTTTTCCCAAATAAATGAATGCATTCTCTACCATAAAATAAGTGATAAATAATTTCAGCACATTTCAAAATCTCTGTCACAAGGAATGAAATACTAAAGTGCGGAGATTAGTCAGGCATGACATTTGGTTTCGAGAGAGCCACCAAATGAATCGCTAAACTCTTCCCAAACTCTATGGTCGTGTTTGAATGAATTACGCTCGATATAAACGCAGATACAACATATATCAAATCGTATGAAGTGTTTAGCAAACCAGTTTAAGATATGATAAACACTGAAAAATCGCATAAACTACTGGGAGGACCCGGATCACATGAGGTCGACCATCGCCCCCAACAAAAGGACCCGGGTCCACATGAACTGACTTCATCGTGTGAGGCCGACACAATCAATGGCCGTGATCTTTTCGGATCCATGGACAGCCGGTCCATACGATGCATTTTTGCCAACCATTTCGGCAAAAATTTGGACAAAATGAGAAAGAAACAACACTTGGATGGGCGAAAGATCATCGTTAAGTTTAGCTGAGCAATCATCGTTAATTGTATTCATGACACAAGTTTACTCATTCCGCTCTCTTAAATAACCCAAAAACCGACCTCTTTCTTATTGCGCTAGAACAAAAAACTCCAGTAGGTAAACACTTTGATGACATGCTTTATGGGGTCTGAAAAACGGTAATTAGATATTCAGCAGATATATAGTGCAACAATTTGCCAGATTGCGAATTGCTGTTCAGTCTGTAAACCAACAAAATTTGGGTGACCCAATAACTCACCAAATCCAGGGAGCAAAAGCTCAGATTGAACTTATTTAAGCACTTATGGTCCACAGGCATCCTCAACGCCTGGCGCTCAACCAAAAACTATCAAGACTTAATCGAGTTACCTTAATTATCAACCGACTACTTCTATAAGAGTCGGCTCGTAATCTTCAGGAGCCTCAAACCCGTGAAGATTCATCACAGTAGCAGCAATATTCGCGAGCCCTCCATTAGGTACGTCGCTGCGGAACCTAGCTCCGGGTGCCAACCCTGGGCCTCCAATGGCAACGGGCACCTACGAAACAAGTACGAAAGAGACTTCAATAATGCTACCGATAACCAGCACAGGCGGTGAATGAAATTCAACACTGGAGATTACTAATAAAATTGCCAAAGTTTGTCATTTATGTCGTCGTGTTGTCCACAAAAAGAGATGTAAAAAAAAAAAAAGAACAAAATGAACTTACTGGCTCAAGAGTGTGGGAAGTGAGTATCTGAATGTTTCCACTCTTGTCAAGTTGAGGCTGCCCCGTCTTGTTTCTCTTAACCATATCTTCAGCATTTCCATGATCTGCAGTGACGACATATATTCCTCCCACTTGCTCTATAGCATCAAGGATCATCTGCAGTTACAGAAGTTACCCCATTCAGTGACTCCATACTCTCTCTCTCTCTCTCTAATTGTATGTGCGAAAAGGGGCTTAGTTACTTGTCTTGTCCTAGAAAAGACGAAAAAGGTTTTGTTTTTTTTTTTGGGGGGGGAGAGGAGCCTCAACACAAATATACTGTCTCAGAACAACAGAACAAAACAAACTTCGCCAATCTCTTCATGGCAAGTCAAGCTTAAAAGAATGTCCCTGAATGAACACAGGAAACAAGACCAACACTTGGACTAAAATGTAAGAAACTTCAGGATAGCACACCTTGACTGCCTCATCAGCAACTTTGCATGCCACAACCGTTGCCTCAATGTCTCCTGTATGCCCCACCATGTCACCATTGGGAAGATTAACTCGTACCTTCAGTTGCAAATGCAAATATAACAATCAAATTATAGGATAGGATCAAAACTCAAAGCCTCATGTGTCAGGCTGTTTCTTATTCTATTTTCACTGGGATAAGTAATGGGAGCTGTCATATACATCACAGAATTACCTGGTCAAATTTACCACTAAGGATGGCATCCCTAGCTTTCTCAGCAATTTCGAGTGCCTTCATTTTTGGTTTGACATTGAATGTAATTCCACTGTCACTCGGAATTTCCACATACTCTTCCAATTCCGGATTAAAATAGCCAGAGCGATTTCCATTCCAGAAAAATGTGACGTGACCAAATTTGACAGTCTCGCTATTCAGATAAAGAACAAAAGAATATCAGTATATAAACACACAAAAATGTTTAAACCAAAACCAGGTCAAAGAAACTGCAGCATCTAAGAAAACCAGTAAACATGAGAACCTGAAGAGTGACTCTACCACTCTTAAACATTTCAATGAGAGTTATGCAAGACGAAATGCTCAACAAGTAAAAGAGCAAGACAACAGACGAAAATTAATGGGAAAGAGCGCAACCAATTTCAAAAATGTACAACTCGTAAATGCACATTTAGCACAGTTAGAGAAAAAAAAGACAATGTGGTAGACTCACCTGCAGGCAAATGTCCTTACGCCGTTATGCACAAGATATTCACCAGATGTTCTATCTATCTCTGGAGGAGAGACAAGGTAACGGCTTGGAAGCTTCAATTCACCATCGTACTGAAGCATTCCAGCGTAACGAATTTTAGGTACTCTAACACGATCAAATTTGTCAAAATCTTCATATTCAAGTGACTTTGCAATCATAACCATCCGGTCCGCTCGGAAATTAAATGTAACAACAGCATCACCATCAACTATTGGGCCCACTGGCTTTCCATTGTCATCGACAATGACAAATGGAGGCAAATATTGATCGTTGGCCTTGGGTGCCTGCCTTAGCTTCTTCACAGCTTCAACAGCACTCGTAAATTGGTAAGGAGCTTCACCGAGAACTTGTGCATCCCATCCTCGTTTTACAACCTCCCAATCATTCTGCGCAAGGTTCATACTAATTTGTTTATCATGGGTCCACAATTCAACTGATGAAATGCAGATATAGGGAGAATTGCAAGAAGCTCCTAATATTGTGGTATGAAAACAATTCAACGGGAATATTCTACCCTGGCAGCTCGAAGAGATGTAGTATCAAGGAGGGACTTTATATGGTATGCACCCGATAACAATTTAATGACATTCTTTCTATTGATTTATCTAACAGATGAAGTAATCAACGTCATAACCTGGATGGGTAGATCATAGGCAAAGAATAAATCGATAAAGAACAACAATCAACGAAATGGCTCCTGCAAATTGATCTAAACTTCATTAAACTGAGGCTCAAAATCATTAACAATGCCAGGCTTTTTGAATGTATTATATGTTTTTATTAATCTTCTAGCCTACCGGTCACAAATCCAGGGAAGATGCTCATAAGATATTAACCGCCCTAGCTACAGCTCACACATTCGAAGATAATGACTGCAGCACATACAGAATACAAATCTGCCACTCCTAACCCAAAGCTAGTGAAGCACACACATGAACTCAAATAGATGATGGAATAGCGTCAGATGTTATCATTTTCAAGATAGGTTACCAAACAGGTCAAGAATCCGAAATCCATAGGGAAGCAGAAATATAAAATAATCAGATGATATTAACAGAAATTGGGGTCTGACCAAGTTCCTACGACTGTCAGCATAACCAGATAAATTTGACCAGACAAATTCCTATCTCAACAGTTATAACAGTGATAATAGAAGAGAAATAACAATAACAGAGGCAAGGTTCCTCCAACCATCTTATGCAAAAGACATCATACATGTATCGTATCTAACTGGTTCTTTGAAGAGTTAAATTTACTTTCATTCACACCACCAGTAAAATGTGCTAATTGAGACCCAATCAACAACCAGAAAAGCTCACAAACACTTAAAACCACACCTGACACTGGCATGATAACATACCTCATACCGGTCCATAGTGACATACATTCGACCTCCACCAGATGCAATTTGTGCATCAATACCTTTAGCTCTTAATCCCGCGAGGTCATTTTCAAGAATTTCTACAAAGCCCACACTTGAACCATCCAAAACATCACGTCCATCTGTAAGAATATGGACACGGATTCTTTTAGCACCGTGCTCAGCAGATCCTTTTAGCAGCAACTGCACCACAGAGCAAAGGGCTTAATCATGACAGCTGCAAAAATAAGCTCAACGTGCAGAAGATGTAAAAGACAGGATTAGAGAGGAGACCTGCACTTGATCAAGCCTAGAATGGACTCCACCATCACTCAGGAGCCCAATCAAATGTAAGGTACTGGTCGCAAAACTTTCCTTTATGTAGTTGAAACCTTCTCCGTCATAAATCTTTCCAGAAGCAAGAGCACTGTCGACAAGCTTTGCACTACATTTGGAAAAAGAGATTTTACAATTTCTCACCTTCTAAGCACTTGACGGAGTTATAGAAATAAGGACAAGGGCACAAGTGATACCGACAATAAAAGAAGCACAAAGTACGCTAAAATCCAGCAGAAGAAGCTCACCCTTGAGCAAAAATTCGGCCAGCGCCAAGAGCGTTGTGACCAACCTCACTGTTACCCATGTCATCCTCCGTCGGGAGACCCACTGCAGTTCCATGAGCTCTGACCAATCTCCATTTCTCAGGGGCACCCTTTAACATGAAAAGAGTAATTTCTCATTCAGCATATGCACCAAATAAGACTCACAAGCAAAGGCTAACGGAGCATCCAAGCAATCTAATGCGGCGATAACTAAACAAACATCAGAAGCAGTATTCCGCTTCCATACGAACTGGGTACACTTTAAGGAGGCTACTGAGTTCTTCGAAGTTGTATACGGCATAGAAGGTAACGCTAGCAAGATCAAAAATTGTTCATCCGGCAATAAGCCGGGTCCAGAATAGGAAATAGACAATGGAATCATCAGATCTAACAAGAAAAAAGAAAAGAGCCCAGATGAATAATTAATATCCAAATCACGGGATCAGCATCAGCAACCAAGCCAAAAAGCATTAACGATCTCCACCAGATCAGTCTCCAATCCCCACTCGACAGTCTCTACCGAAACCTCAACAGCCCATCACCAGCAATCAACCGGAAAAACTCCGACCAACCCACCGGAGCCAAACCGGCCAAGAACCCAGATCCGGCGTCCCCCTCCCCCCCAAAAGCAGCAAACAAGGACACACGGGAGAACCGAGAGAGCCATCCCGCGAGAACGCACCTTCTTGAGCGAGTCCATGGTAGGTGTCTCGGCGATGTGGATGCAGTTGTACTGGTCGGGCTTGGCCTCGCCCCACCCGTCCAGGACCACCAGGGCGATGGTCTTCCCCTTGGGCAGCCTCGGGTGATCCGCCAGCGTCCATGAGAATCCGGAGCTACCCATTTTCCCCTTATCTCCTCCTCAACCGCAAAAAAAAATCCAACCCTCCCAAAAAGCTCTCTCCGCCTCGAAAGAAGATATCACCCAGAAGCAGCAGACGGTCGAAGGAGTCCCCTCTCGCACGACAACAGCAACGAAGAAGGCGTGATCTTAACGAAGACAGAGATGGGTCAGAATCGGAATATGCTTCGCATCCACTCCACCAAAACCGAAGAAATCCAAGCGACGAACTGCATATATAGAGAGAGAGAGAGAGGGAAGGGAGAGAGGGAGACAAGTGGAGCGGCGCGACCGTTGATTTCGTTCCCACAGATTAGCAGAAACCACGTCCGTCGGATCAGCGGGGGACAGGGATATCGGGGCCGTTGGTTTTAGGGTACGGTGTGTGGGATTGGGGACCGACCAAAAGGCGGGCTCCCGTCACGTGGCGCTTTTACCTTAACCAATCCGCAAAATCGGTAAGAACGACAAGAGCCTGTCTTTGCTTCTCGTGCTTTCGAATTTTGATTGGTAGCGCTGTAACTTCGGCTGTGCTTTTTCTTTTTCTTTCTCCCTCTCTCTCTTTTTTTTTTTGTTGACATTAATGAAATGTCGTTTTTGAAGCTAAAAAGTATATGATCGGAACGTATAAAAGAAGTCGTGTCTTGTATAGTGCCATGTCGAGTCGAATTCGGGTTCCTCTCTATAAGTTTTCTTCTCGTATGAATCTTGCTCGCGTGACCATGCTCCCCATCGGCAGCGGCGGAGGTAAGACCCTTGTCCTTTTTCTCCGACAAAGGCCATAAGCAAAAGGCGAAGATTGGAAAGTTCATCACCGAGCTTACATTTTACGTGGCTACGCGAATCTTATTTATCGCCAAAATGGGCCTTAAACTTTTTTGGGTACATTACAACTGACTAGCTAGATCAAAATGTAATTACATCAGCCCGAGAAAAAAAAATCAATCGTGCGATTTGTTGGTATCCATGAAAATTCAATGTCGCATAAGGCAGTTGCGACTCGAAAATATCTCGATTTTAAATTATCTCTAATTTCAATTTTGCGTTTATATAGTTTAGCTCAATCCGTGATTTGAATTATTTATTTTTTTTGTGTATATTAAGGACTTGAAGTTTTATTATTTAGGGTAAAATTTTGTATTTCAAAAATTGTGAGTGAGAGAGGTCAAGGCCCGTGAATACATAGAGTTAAAAATAAAATAAAATAATGCTTTTAATTTTTTTTTTTAAATATTGTGCTGTTGACGTGTCAACTGTCAAATACAAGTTGCTGCTTTTGACGGGTCGGGGGTAGGTGCAACCGTGCAGCCGAGAGTCTTCATAATGCCTTCAGAAGAGAACTGTAATAAGTAGGTGTGTATCTTTCTTTCTTTCTTTCTTTCTTTTCTTTTTTTAATTTTTTTTAAATACTTTTGTTTTTTTTAATCAGGCGTGCGCTTTGACCAAAAAGGAAAAACTAGGCATGCGCGTGACTTTGCGTATAAAATGTTTTGAGTGCATAAAATTCCAAAAATGGTTAAGAGAGCACATGAGGAGACAAGTTTGACATTTCTTTTGATTTTTTATTTTGTTTCGATTTTTTTTTTACGGTAATAAAAAGGTTTGAAATGCTCATCCACCTTTGTTTTACGAGGTAAATGACACGGATTGTTCCTAAACTTTAGCCTACCGTGTAATGTGGTCCATGCACTTTAGCTCAATGTGTAATGTGGTCCCCGAATCTTTAATTTGTTCAATGTAATCCTTCGCCAGACTATATGAAATTATTCAATATTATCCTTTCATTTAATTCAAGTTCATGGATCACATTGAATATTTTCATATAGTGCATGAACTAAATTGAAACATGTACCAAAAGTCCAGGGACTATATTAAACAAATCAAAAGTTCAGGGACCGTATTGTACATTGGACTAAAGTTCATGGATCACATTAAACAAATTTAAAGTTCAGGAATCACATTGCACGTTGGGACAAAGTTCAGGGATCATTTATATCATTATCCCTTGTTTTATTTATCAAAAGAAAATGCAATCTCAAAACAAAAAGTCAAAATTGGTTACGACATTACGGCACTTCCCTCTATGTAGTTAAAATAAATAAATAAAAACAAAAAAGATGTTTCAATCTTAAACTTTTTTCGAATCTGTAATACTTTCCGAACTTAATCTTAAATCATTCTCCCTTTGGTAAGTTAAATCTTTCGCATTTTGGAAAGAAATTTTTACTCATCTCTCTAATAAATGGACCGGGTCTTCGGAATCTTAAACGTATTAAATTTTTCTTAGCACGTGCACTTTTGTTAGAGATTTGATTCACTTTCGAATTACCATTGTTATCCCTCATATAAACTTATGACATCATACGCAGCCACGCAGTGAGTGAGCAGAGAGTGATGAATTACCGATTTGATCTCTCGTATAATATTATGACGTCATAATATATCATGGACCTTTCATGAAGTTACTGAGAAAAAGTTTGAGATTGAAATGATCTTTTAAGTTTGCTTGGTTATGTAGAGAGATAAATAAGAACGTAGGTGTGAACTTGTTTGTTGACTCGACGATAGCCCTGATCAAATATATATATAGATATCAATGCAAAAATATTGTGAATATCACCAAAAAGAATGAGACATGAATGAAATGGAAATATATATATATATATATATATATATATATATATATATATAATGAGATGGGACGAGAAAATATAATGAGAGATGAATGAAAACAAAATTTGTTTAGATATTGTGAGAAAGAATAAAATGAAAATTCCGACGAATTTAATTTCACTTGCATTTGTTCTATAACATAAACGATATAATAGCAAACATTATAACATTTCTTCCTTCTAGTAAAAGAGCACGCGACCTCGAATCTTAGCCGTCGCAAGTCGCGATACCAATGAAGAAGTAGAATGACAACAACCGTGACAACATAGGTCGTCGAAAGGATCTCGGAGCCTCTTGCCTGATCCATCATCCACCACAATCTTCTCCTTCTTGACTACGAGGTTTTCGTAAGAATATCCTACTTATATTAATTTAAATTTTATTCCTAATTTCTTGGATAGATAAAATTTTTGAATTTTCGTGCCTCATGTTTTCATAATTAAATTTGTTTAAGTCTTATGTTTGATTTTTGTGAAGATATTTTATTTTTGGATCATTAACCCTATAGCTTGAAAACACACATAATTAACTAAATTTAATTAAGAAAACACTAACTACAAAAAGCTTGAAAATTTTATCTATCGAAAAATATTAAGAACAAAATTTAGAACTAATATAATTACGATATTCTCACAAAAACTATTAGACTTATAATAACAGGAATATCAACTTGATAAAACTTTAAATGAGGCTCTACTTTCACATCATAAGCTATAATATACTCAAATGGAACCACCGTTATATTTATAAAATCCAAAAAGGTCGGTGATGCAAAGATATCATATTTATGATTTAGGCAAATGGATTGAAATGCAAAGAATTTCTAAGATTTGGGCAGCAGCGTAATTGTGACTTGCCAATATTACCGAATGACATATTTGACTTTGATATGAAAAGTCGGGGGATTAGAATGAACAAATTAAAAATTCATGAACCAGATTACAGATATTACAATAGTTTAGGAATCTGTGTCCACTTCGATCAAACAAAAAAGACTATATTGAACATTTAGGAATAGTTTAAGGATCACATCCGGCGAATTAAAAATCCAAGGACAACATAAAACTTACCGAGTCTTCTTTGTCTCGAATCTCTTTAGTTGTGATAGATTTCCGAGGGCTCTAGGCCCATATTAAGTCACTCCTTCCGGGTTATATAGGTGCGCACGGAATAAAAATTCGTTCGAATGCAAGACAAAACCAGGAATGGCGTTCGTTAAAAAATTTCTCAAAGCTTTTTTGATTAGAAATTTTCGGTTCGGTTCGGTTCGGTTCGTATCTCGGTTCGGTTTTTCGGTTCGGTTCTGACACCCCTACCTGTGGCCACCCACTTTGAGTGAAATTTAAATTTTTTTAGGTGCAAAAAAAAAAATAAAAAAAATAAAAAATTTCAAAACTTTACAGAATGGCTTATAATACATGTGACCACCCACTTTGAGTAAAATTACAGATTTCTCCTCCAGGAATCAATTTCTGGCAAGAATTTGATTTCTGGAGCAGAATGGTTACCATTCGCACTCTATACGGCCACGAGCAGCAAAACCAGTGGTGTCCATGCAAAACTCAAGCTTTCTAATTACTTGGACACTCTGGCCCAAGAGGAACCAAAAATTTTACTTGGACACTCGCAGTTTCTCTCTTATTGAAACCCTCGATCTAAGTTAACGTTGTCTAGGAACATCCTTCCATTTGGTTTGGGATGTCTCGCGTCGATTGGCAGCCAGCTAATCCGGCTCGAGCATCGCCTTCCTTCGATCCCGACCGCATCGCCTCATTACAAAGTCGTATAGTCAATGACTTGTGCGGGTGATCCCGAGATATCGATGATGATGAGGGCCGAACTTGAGATCTCTCGCCTATCAGTGAAGCGTGAGTACGCAGTAGACTAACTGATCAGTGGTCAATGATCTTCAGACTCTCCTCGAGCACGACTCTCCACCATCCAGGACAATAATTGTGCACCAAGTATTACGAATAACTTATTTATTCTTTCCAAGAAATCGTAACATATTCTCGCGTGAACAGAGCCGTCATGCTTCGGCGACTTCCATTGCGTGCACCATGTATGGATATACAGTCACGAAGCTACCAAACTTCTGACCTTTTTTCCCAATCAAACATTTTTCTTTAGACTTAGGAAATTGTTATTGTAATCACATGATTTTGCCCTAGCGTCATCTATGCTTATAAGAAACTCTTTTCAGTGCCTATCCAGTGTACCTTACAAAGGGAATATCCAATGATATGCACGCATCTTCCCTGTCTCTGGCCATATGTACACCAATCTTTAATAATGGAACTTTGGGTTGTAATAATTTATGCTTCGTTAAACGATTAATGAAGTCTTCTTTGGGCGCATCTTGC